CCACGTGAGCACAATATGGTGGTCATATCCTCCCTTTATGCCCTCAGACATGAACCAGAATTAAAGGAAAGCCATGCCAGCAACTGGGAGAAGAGGGGAATGTCAAATACATTTGCCAGGCATAAAAGGACTTGGAAACAAGAAGGCAAGAACATCATTACACGACCATAAAGTGATTTTGAAACTTTTCCAAGACAACTTATCTCTGAACAGCTCCAGCCCATCCATTCATCCCTTCATTCATTCAGCAACCATTTATTGAGTAGTCTTCCCCGATCCAGTTTACAATGCTGATTAAATAGGTCCATTGTACTAAGGCTTGCCAAATTCTACTCTAGCAGTGCAAAATACAGTGACATTGCTAATACTGAAGGAGCCTCTCTAAAGAAAACCCATGTGATTTAGAGGATGCATTGATCCTAAAATGTCCAGAGTCCCATTTGCCTATCATGTGTCATAATTTTCCAGATTGGCTAGGGCCCAAGAGAATGGGAAATAAGGCTGACATAAAATATCTCAAATAGATTTCATAGGAAAACTGTTCTCTCAAGAAGGTAGTATGCAGGACTTTAAAATCTCATTATATTGAAAATGCAGTTTTCATGTTGCTTGCACTCAGACTAATATTAAATAGGAGTACTTGGGACACTGGGGAAATTGTGGCCTGCTATTCTGCTGAAAAAACTTTCTAATGATAAGAAACTGGTATACATTGGAGGGGGAAATATATTTGCATACAATCCTGAATTGTTGAGGTACAGTAATCACTTTCCACACGTGATTTATAAAAAGCAATGTAAATTAGAAGAAAAGGTTGACAATGACAAAGAAATCAAGATATAGCACATAAAGTTCACCATGCAGGGAAAAAAATGATATTTTCAATGGTAGCGACAAATCAAAATTCACAAATAAAGACAGTAAAGTTTATTTGGCAAGTGAAAAAAAGGACTTGAGGAAGAGTGCCTCACACCTTTGAATAATTAACTTTATAAGAAGATAATTTAAATACTGTAATTTTATGAAAACAAGCAAGCTTACGTAAAGAAAGTTAAGACGATATCTGTTTCATTCACATAAAACAACCCCCCCCCCCAAAAGCCGGTATTCACAAAAATGGCTCTCAGATATCAAGAAAGGTTTTATTTAGGATGCTTGGTTTGTTGAGGCAGGGAAATATATAGTTTTTAGTAAGTTTTCCAGCAAAATTAAAAATTCAAAGCAAAAAAGTTTCAGATTTCAAAAAATTAATTTCTGCTTATCTAAAATAGATGTCGGCTATGATACTGTAAGTAACGATGATTTAACTAAAAAATGCATTACCCTAACTTCTGAATCTGCAGATTTTGTCAATGCTTATAATGTTATCTACACATACTTTTTTACTCTTCATCAATCTAGAGTTGGCAAACGTTTTGATAATCCTTACGAGCAAAGAAATCATACTACATGTTTCCTTGTGGTGCCAAAGACATATTATTAATCTTTAATCTTGTGAAATCATTCCATATTTCCGAACAATGGGGCAACAGAAAAAAAGGGGGAATATTTGTCCTATTTTCTTTATGAATCTGTTAAATGTATTTCATTCCTCCAAGTATTTATTCACATTTTTATGATAATGTGCACATATTTTCCAAAAGTTATATAAGATTTTTTCATTACTGTGTGAAGCTGTGATGTCACCAGTACTGCCCGGGTTAATTTTAGGCTACTTTTGCCACCACTGCAAGGAAAATAATTTACATCTTCAATGAAAAGGACCATCAAAGCCCCTGTTAATTGTTTTCAACACCCACTTACTTGTAATGGTGGCAGTGGCAAAACTTTAATATACCTTTCAAAAATAATAACAGCACACAATTGCTAGTGCCTACTGAGACAGGTTTCAAGCCAATTTCAAACATCTACCTCATAACAGTTGCATTTATATGGTATCCACAGCTCTACTCAGATCCACCAGATACACCTGATAGTAATTAAAGGTTACGGGAAACAATTCCACTCCAAAGTAAACTTATCACTCTGTTTATGCCCTTTCTCTGGAACAAGCTGATGTCCCAATATTTCTCAAGAATGCAATCACACATCAAACTTTACACGCTGCTCCAAAATGTTCTAAGATCTCACTCTCACCCTCTCACTTGCAAAAGCTTTGAAGAAGCTACTAACACTCCTTTTAGGAGCTTAGTTTTTAGATTTCTGGGGGATTTTTAGTGGTTTTAGTTATTTACATTATGAATTTTTTTTTTAAACTTGTGCCTTCCCCAAGACTAAGTTAGGTTCTTTGAAGTAAGATTAAAGACACCTGAAAAATAAGTAGCAAAAATTACCCAAATCACATTTTTAATAGTTGTTGAAAATACAGGCTTTCTTTAAAAGATCAGATAATTAATAAAGCAATATTTACTTCATGTCTAGACTTAATCTTAGAAAATATCTTCCACTTTTTGTTGGGGCTTTCATATGTGTTTTAGGAATTTTATCCCAAGGAATGGATATTCCTATCATACCCTGAATATTTTATCCACTTTTTTTCAAAATCATTTTTACTCCTCGATGACAGCAAGTTTAACAAAATGAATTTGGAAAAAACAACAACAAAGGTTTAACATTCATAAACACTACACACTTTTGTTAAAACACTTAAAAAAATGCAACATATCCATTCCTAACTCTTTATCTTAACAGAATTTCTGACTCTAGCAAAGTATAATTTTAGTAACTCATCAAGATGGAATACGTAAAATTGGCACACAGATATGCACACAAATTTGATATGCACACAAATTGAGAATGCATCTTTCCCAACTGCGTTGCAGAAAATGAAATGCATCTGGTATGACAATATGGCCCAGCACGTGAACTAGAATCAGCGGGAAGAAAGGGATTTCTTTTTTTTTTCAAAGCAGAACATTTTAAATAATGCACATGCCCCAACAGCAAGGCATTATTAAGTCTATTAAACTGTCATTCAAAGGTATATTTGGCTAAAGAAAACATAATAGCAAGAGGGCTGACAGGGGCATAGGAGGTAGAATGGTTTGTTTGGTTGTAATTATTATACATCAGTGATTTCCAAATCTCTTTCCC